AAGATTGTTCACCGCTCAATTTATCATCCACGAATATCAATTATATTATTCCCTTTTATAAATTTTCTCGCACGAAGAAATAAAGGTTTAAAAAATAATTTAACCGGTACCGAAACCTCTTAGCGTTAAATTTCTTTTCCTCAAGCTTGGAACGAAATTGTTCATCAACAATCGACTTACACTTCGTTCGAAGCAACGATAAAAAGAAATCTGAAATACTGATAAACCGCGCCCCTATCCAAAGAGGCGAATGCGAAAGCTATACTTTCGAAGTGGTTTTATCTCCGACAAGGCAGAAGTTTCGAAGGAAGTTTAGAGGCAACCTCCAACCCTGTAATACGCGTATTTAATAAAACCACGATAGCGAGGCGAAGCGAGGGCTCGCGTATGTCCGAACGTTTCGATAAGTCCGCCAATATATTTCACTCGCAGCCGAAAAATGTTCCCAAGCCGCTTCACCGCACCCGATACTATTTATTCCGCCCTCGTTCGTGGCGGCTCGCATACTTCGCCTATGGGTGTGTACTATCGGAATGTGTTGAAACATTGCGGCCACAAGGAGGTCGGATTAAATCTTGATACATTGCCGGTATCCACGCGTAAAATTCGCGCATAGAGCACACGCGTCTCTGTGCACACCGATACGTACAGGGTGTTTCCTTTTAACTTGGATGCGTCGCCGAGGATCGAGATCGGATCAAAAATTTATTTTACTGCGATAATACTGCCTTGTGTCCGTGTATTTGATTTCGTAATTGAATATGTGGAGATCGTACGTGAAATAAATTGCTTGTGGAATAAGCAAAAAGTTATAAAGAGATATCGAGAGGTATTAATTTATGTATATGTTTAAAATTTTTAATATAATCGATGCGGGTAATCATTCCCTGCTATAAAAGGATCGAAGTTGAAATATCTTCTGGACTAATGATTCTCTGATATTAAAATAGCTGAGTAACTGTTTTATAAGAATTAACATCCTGCATCTTGATCTAGATTTTTTCTCTCTCAATCTTTATCTCTTTTTCTTTCAGGATATCATCAAGAATGCGTTTGATCGATTTATGATCGATCAATAATAAGAATGTAATAAAATAACTCGCACGAGTTACACATCGTCTTCCCATCGAAAGAATTAAATCGATCCCATTTAAAAAGAGACTTGACGTATCCCTTTACCGAGGACAGCTCCTTTTCAACAGCTTCATTGCTAAAGAGCGGTGCTGCGAGTACTTCGTAGGGGTTAAAGGGAACACCGTGTACACTCGATTGCGCACGGCTCCATGCACACCACGACACACGAAAACGTAAAAAATGGGTGATTTATCGACGGCGAGGCCGATTGCCGATAGTGTACATTCTATCGTAGCGAATTACTAAGTGGCCACTTGTCCGCCACAGTTCCTTGTACATGAATTATTCTATTCCGTGACCGGTCGTCGCGCGTCCGCGCCGGCTAATTGTTCCTTTCCCCGTCGACGAGTAAAATCCCTCGTTAGCGGGTTACATCGACCCGTGATCCGTCCCACAACCCTTCCCCTCCTCTCTTCTCTCATTCGTTTCCCCGGTGAAATTCGCGACGCAACGATATTATCCGGGGAACACGCTCCCCAATCCCTGGGCCGCGTTTAAACTTTCGTTTATGTAAGCGGCCGGTTCTCGTGATGTCACCGTCGTCGTCGTCGTCCTTCTTCATTATATATGCCCACTCTGTTCCCTCGTAGCAAGGATATTGTATATTGTGAATCGCGATCGATCGCGTCACTCGTTCGTCGAAGAGGGCGTGCGTTAAATACATTTTCTTTCCAGTTGCGCGAAGGAAAAGTATAGTGTGGCTATTGAAGAATCTATTTCGTGATGAATTGACATTGATAGGGAAAAAATGACGAGAAATTTATATCCAATAGTAATAAAGCAATAAGGTAACTCGCGTCGATAAATCAAGTATGGAAGGAAAGGATAGTATCCATTAAACATCCCATTTATGGGTTGACATAATCTTTAATAGCCTCGACCATTTATGAAAAGTCAGAATTTATTTCCAATGTTAATAAAATGGCTATTTTATATTTGGGAATTACTTCAATATATTCGATCGCGTGACGAGATGCACGACGAAATGGGCGTCATCGTCATCGTCGGTGAGATCGTCGTATCGTTTGTTCAAGGTCAAGGAACTTGCAATTACATTGCAATTCGATCGTTAGGTTTTATCTATATTCATATCGAATCAACGTGAAAGAACAACTTATTTATACGTGGTTTTTATACGTATTTTCTCGATCCATAGTTGGAAAGTTCAGTGATCTGTAGTTTAGAAGGGAAGGATGATCGCGACAACGTCGACATCTATTAACGTCGAGCACGCGACAGCGATCTCCTGCGTTAACCTATAAGAGAGGGAATAACGGATTTCGTGCCGTATCAAATGTTGCGTGCCTATGCGATCCGCCCAGCAATTGTGAATCACAGTAATTACGTTACGTGTCTGTTATGTGATTGGTGGTAATTAGAAAAGATCGTTTCTTTTTTTTTCCTTTTTTTTTTTTTTTTTTCCCCTCCATTCCCATTCAACCAACGATCTACGTGTCCCTCGATGCCAGCGATGCCCTCGAGGATCCTCGCGATCTCTTTTCCCTTTTTCATTGAGGTTCATTCGCTTAATTGGCTCCGTCGCTGGCTAGCGTCGATTACGCAAAGCCTGAGGATTTTTCTGCTCACGACCGGGCTATAATTAGTACATTCCTTTTTCGAGTAGTCACGAGTCGCGTGGACCCGTTGGAGCCGTGTGGTTAACTCGGTTGCGGTTTATATAGTGGCGAGCCAAATGGATAACTAGGCTGAACGTGCAACGAACTATAACGAAACTTTGCGCGCGAAAAATTGTCGTCGTAAGCGGTTGAGAAAACAGAAGCAGGCGATGTTACGAGAATTGCTAATGGTCTAAATGGATCGTGTTAACGCGAAAGGCTAATATTGCGGAATGGAAAAATATTTATCCCGGCTACGTGATTATTAGATAGATTGTCATTCGTTTAATTTCCATATTTCTTTTCATTTATTTTCGTTTCGTTATTATCGATAAAAAGTCCATCGAGAAATCTTCCATTCGAAGCAAAGAGATGGCTACGCCTGTCATTCGTCATCATTGAGAGAGATAGAGAAAGAGAGAGAGAGGGGGATAAAGGGTGTTCCACGGATAATAGAATAGATGGGAAACGAGGATACGCGCGAGGCACGCAGAAGGGAAAGGGGAAAAAGGAGCAACTGGCAAGGACGCTCATATACGTTACCATGTCGTGTTCTCATAATCGATTAGCCGTCCGACGAGAGAAGGAATCCCTTTCTGTAACCCAACACGTCTGATCCTTCTCTCATTCTTGAGAGAAGAGAGGCCACTCAAGCATTTAGGACCATTCTGGCCTTGCGACCGCCTACGTTCCAGACCTTTGTCTCGCGTCCAAGAGACTCGACCATGCCTCCTCGTCGCGGTGGCAACTCTCCTCGGACCAATTTTATTGTTGGCGTATATCCATCCAGGATACGAGAGTCCAGTACATACGTCGTGTGGATAAATGCGATATTATCCGTATATATACGGACATTTTAGATGGACTTGGCAACAATTTTTTTAATCAATATTGAAAAGAAACAGAATTAATTATCTCTTCGTGAATGATTTAAAATTTGTTAATGAAGAATATCAGGATTACGTATGATACACGTATTCCTATTTTTTATTACTTAGTCTCACAACGTGTCATTTCATTTTTCCATAATATTTTTCATATTATCCAATGCAAATAGTTGAGCAGTTAAAAAATATAACGGATACAATAATATCGTGAATATTATTTTATATATATTATATGCACACATAGTCGTGCGACTGGATACTTTTGAGCGGTGATGTACATGGCTATACACTCGTATGTATATACCATAGTGGCGAAGCCACATGAAATTGAAAGTTAGCGTGGGTCGATAGCTACCGCCCAGACCGGTCCAAGTTTACTTGGGCATTAAGTTTAGCGATTGGCCCGAGAAAATATCACCGTTCTTTCGTCCACCACGTCGAAAACTCACGACCGCGCGAAAACCGTATTTCGAATTTCGATCGTTCCACGTTACATGTATATATGTGTATATATCTGGTGCACGATTTTCCACCGGGATTCCATTGGCCGATTGTAATTAATTAAATAATTTATAGCCGCGAGACGAAGGAAGGACGATCGAGTATGCGAGCTTTTAAAGGCCAAGGGGCAATTAACCGAGTATAATTAAAGTTGGCAGACTAATTAGCCGGGTATGTTAATATTAATTGCGGCTTGGTCCACTTTTTTTTTTTCGGCCCTCTTTTTCGAATTCCCATGATCCGGACCCCGATATCCCCCTCCCTCCCCCTCCTCGGTTTCGATATAAGCGGTTTTACGTACAAAGAGGCGTACTCTATCGGTATACCCTCGCCGATCGAAAATCGAGCACCACGAATGTATACCTACCTAGGTATTTTAATATTCATTATTTTGCGGATTTTTCGATCCTTATCTCTGTAACGAGCTTGAGGATACTTCTGTGGTAGACTGGAATAATAATTATTGAAAATATCGTGCACGAGAATTACGATAGTTGACCTTGTTCAAATCTAAATTCCCCATTTTCGAGAGTTTAAATATAAACTCTCTGCAACTCTCTCGGCCGTTTCCCGCGATAGAAAAATGTAATCATTACGAGCAGAGAGAGTAATGATGGTGTTCTCAGAAAAGAGTATCGTAATTCTTCTGAACTAGAAGTAATATAAGTAAACTCTTGAAAAAAAAAAAGAGAGAGAAATACTTTGAACGATAAACGATTTTAAAGAACAAAATTTCAAAAATGATAAAATCTAATCTAATATCCTCGAAAAAAAAAAGATATCAGCAATTCGACAAGAATTTTCGAACGACGATAAACGTTTTTTCTTTCTAAACGCAAAGTGATTTTCGTTTCGATCACAGGTCACCGGCCAATTATTGGACACCGAATTTCAACCGACGGTCACAGCGACATGCAAGTCCGGTCATATGACGATACGAGTGAACCTAAATCAGAGTTTCGTGGGCGCCGTCCACGCGAGAGATTTTCGGACGCCGCAATGCATGGCGCCCGGAAACGGGTCGACGCACGCGACGTTGGCCATCAATCTTCTCGCGCCCAAAGGTTCCCCGGATTACTGCGGCGTCTTGGTAAATAACGTAAGTTATCCCCTCCATTTCTTTGATTAAAAACTCAATACTCGGATAATATATACGAGATTTGTCTGGCAAGTGTTGGACTCGGGAATACGGTTTAAAACAAACTTTACACGCGTCCACAACCGCGTATTTCCGTACAGTCATTCGGCCGACAGGAGAGAAGGAAAGGTCGTTGGGTGACTTACTCGTTATACGATCGTCGCATCACACTGATAATAATGAAGATTTTGATTGATAATGATGGAGAATGTAATAAAGTCTCGCTTTTTACGTTTTTACTAAATCATCATTTATGATCTGTCAGCCATTTTTTCGACGCCTGAACCTCACTTCCTGCGACATATGGCAGATTTTCTGAAATGGAAATAGCCATAAAAAGGAATGAATCTTAAATTGTTATAAAATAATGAGGAATATTGCAAATTTTTTTTAACAATCTTGCAAACAAAAATATTAAATCTACGGAGTATTAAGCAATTATTTTTACATTGAATTCTCTCTCTCTCACGGGCAAATCCCAACGAAGAATCAAAGAATCAAATTCAAATTCTTTCGCGAAATAACATCGGATAAAATAATGGCCAATAATTCTCGCGTCTCTCAACTTAATAATCCCCGAGATACCCTTAGATACGAGGGAACATGTTGTAAAACCACTCTTATGAATCCCGATAATATCAGAAACATAATCGAATAAAGGATACCTTGTTCGATTCTTGTTATTTCCACGATATCAACCCGAGATAATCGTCCAAAACGGTTTCTTCAAAACGGTCGCGAGCAAATTTCTCTCTTAATCCCTGTTGTAATTCTTCGCAGGACACCGAGGAACGGTCCATCCCCATCGCGGTAAGGATACACAAGACCTTAGAGCTGGCTGACGATAAATTTTACGTGATCACGTGCGGAAAAGCTGGATTCAAAAACGCCAAGTACATATAACAACAGTTTATTAATATTAAATCTCGCGATTATATGCGAGAGAGGGGGAAGGGGAGATCTTAACGCGTAACGACACGCGATAATTTTCTTCTTCTTCTTCTTATCCTTCCTGCGCAGGAACGAGACCTCGCTTGTATCGTTGCGCCTTTTGGACGGAGGCCACAAAGTGCAAGAGGCTATTTATGGTCACAACTACACTTTGCGTGCTGAGATCTCGCGACCAGATGGTTGGTACACGGCGTCCTCTCGCCCGATCTTTACCCCCTTTGCGTTTAATTGGAATTAACGAGCGCGCGTAAACGCGCGAACTCGCCGCTCCCATGTGACACGCACTCATCGATCTTTCTATGGGTTTCAGGTATGTACGGGATCAAAGTGAAGTCGTGCTTCGCGTTTAATAAACGTAACTCCAGTGTCCAGCTGATCGACGATAAAGGGTAGGTTTTATCATGATATTCGCCCTCTTTCGAGTCGATAGAAGTTCGATTTTCAAAAATTAAAGTATATTATTGGTATTAGTTGTATTTGGAATTGCCATCCATCTTTGAACTTTCCTCGAGAAATTTTCGTTTTTTTCATAAAAATTTGACACAGTGTTGATATTCGATTTCACTGGAAATATAATATTTCTGGTTTTAGATTGGATATTATTTTAAGTTAGATAAATTTTATTTTTACCTCTTCGAGTATTTACTTTATTTTCGTTTGTTAATCAAAACGGATTCCTCTTTTGCTATTTCTATTCTATTATTGAGACGGCAATTCCTAATATTTCAGTATATTTCTTACAGTAAAGGATAAGGTGACAATCCGGTTACGCAATAATTCGTATTATTGTCGAAGATTTATGTAATCCAGATATAGATTTTGCGCGATTCGAATTGTCACGGCTCGATCGCGATAATACCGAATTGCGTAATCCTCCTCCGTTTTCCATGACAAAGGTGTCCCGTAAAGGCTCAGGTGATGACGAAATTCATCTACGATCGAAACACCGGCCTGGCGGATGCGACATTGTTCTCGATGTTCCGGTTCTCCGATAGTACGCAGGTGCATTTTCAATGCGACATCGCCGTATGCAGAGGTAAACCGATTCGTTGAACGACTCCCAATTACGACCCCGGTTTCAAATCTGGGTCGTCCAATGTGCCGTTCAACTTAGCCGCCAATTAACATTTCAACGTGTGTCGCGCGAGAAGTAGCACGTGCCTCGTTACACGTAATTCGTCTTAAGAGAAAAGAACACGCTTGTCCCTTCCTTCCGAGGTTCGAGGAAAATATGCATTTTCCAAGAAACGAACGCAATTAATACGTTACCTATTATATTCCAATGAGGATATATTTATCGCACTTGTGATGCGATGAGAACAGGTGTGCGGTTGGAAGGAAGATGGTCAATCGTCGATATATATATAAAAACCGTTTCTATATACATTGTAACATGTTTTCTTCTCAAGTATAATCTTTCGAGTCGATCAATTTCGAACGACAAAGCAAATATACCACTATCTCTGAATAAACACGGTTTCATAGAAGAAACGAGATGTGCTACTTTTCCTCAACATACTCTCGATACTCTCTTCCTCGGGACGCTATGGGTATGTTCGAACGGTACCGACCACTTTGTATCTCGTGTCGGTTACGTTCGATTACACTTCCTTCTTGGCCCAGAAGAGAAAAAAAGAAAGAGAGAGAGAGAGAGAGAGATTTGAAAACGCTTCTCCGGTCGAGCGAACGGTAAATAACGCGTGGAAGATAAAAGGTAAAATGGTTTATCCTTTTTTTTTCTTTTTCTTTTTCCCCTCCATCCAGGAAGCTGCGGTATCCCGGTCTGCGACGACGATAACGAGGAAGATATAAAGGGAGCGTCCTTAATTAATAGGCAAAGCGTGAGCGGCGAGGAAGGAGTGCTCCTGGCCGGCACGAGCGTGTTCGTTCTTAACCCTGGTCAAACGCCGTGTAAATATCGCACCAGTACTTTTCATACCCCGCTTCCTGCTTTTACTCCTGGCTTACCTCCTATACCAACCAACGACTACGTGATTAAACCTGCCTATCTGAACTTTTAACCCCCGCGCGCTCGAATTAATTAGCCGGCGCGGGTAATTCTCTATTTTCCGAAGCTGCGTACAGGCTGGGATACGATCAGCCTCGGGGGAACATTGTATCGCGATAGCCCATTGGACCTGGCTAGCTGTCGTCGAGCTGTATCTCGATAACGACGGAGGATAGCGATATGTGCGTGTATTAACCCTTTAAGTGATCCGTGAAGTGAACTTGCGAAGAATGAATCTGTCTATAATTTTTCTTTTTCTTTTTCTTTTTTTTTTTGTTAATCGATTAGGGTAAATTGTTGTTGCAAAACGTAGAAGAATTCGATCACGTTGGGTTAGTCAAAATGTGTCCGTTAATCTATTCACCTCTCGAGCGATTATGATTATCGTACATGCTTGCCACGAAATTGAAATTGATAGACGATGCACTCTATGTTAAAATTTAACGTACACGTGTCAGTGTATCGTGATGCAACGTATGGTTAATGTATCGACGGTGACGTAGCAAGGGATTAATTGCATTAACTTCACTCGTGAAATATATTAAATTCGTGTCAAATAAAATATATGTATATATATATATATATATATGCTTGAATATTCCAGGAAAATTGCAATCTATGTCAAAATTGTACGATCTTACGTGGCATCGGGTTATAAGATATACAATGTTTCGAGCGATTGCCAATCTGCGCGCAGCTTAAAGAGATGCACACTGTATTCGATCGTAAAGCAAGAGAAAGAGAGAGGGAGAGAGTCTCGGTTGTTAACATACACCGGTTGATTTTCCAGCGGTTCAGTCATTGTACGAGGATGGCAGCGTTCACCCTGTATGGCTGTTATGGCTGGCGGTAGCTCTCGGCATCCTGTTCCTCATCATGCTGATAATCAATATATTCCTCTGCTCGGCGATGACCTGCAGCTGCACCAGGACGGACATTATCGAGAAGGAGCCATCGATTATCGAGGACTACGATCCCTATCGTAGCTGGCACGGATCCCAATACGGCTCGAGGTTTTGACTTTTCTTTCTTCTTTTATTTTCGTCTTTCTTTTTCACAGGGAGGTGGGGAGGGGAAACGTTCCACCGATCGTAACTTCGATCACGAACCAAAGATTCCTTGAAACTTCGACTTGTAATTACCCGGAGGCGAATATGAGATTCCCTGTTAGCGCGTACCTGGTTAATTGAGATGTTTGGAAAACGGGGATCCTTTGGGAGAATGTGCGTGCTTCGAATTGATTGAAACGCCGTAATGGGTGGATTTCTTGGATAGGGGTTGGGTCGGTAAGAAATAATAGGAAATAGTAACTCACGTGAGTTCATCGACCATTTGGAAGATACATCGAGGATGAATTATTTTTCGATAAAAATTAATTTTCTTTTCTTTTTTCTCCCTCGTACGAAAGGATATTTTTAACAGAGTAAAATACTGTTCGATAATAATTTATGAAAAATTACGTCGATAATAATTTACGAGAAAACGAGAAATGTCCATTACACGTCACGCTTAGGAATCGCAACTCACACAGGGAATCGAAAATCCAAACGCGTCGCACTTTTAAAACATTTATCGCTTTCGATCTATTCTTCTTCTTTTTTTTTTTTTTTTCTTCTTTTTTCTCCCCGTCTCCGGAATGACTAATCGCAAGTACACGCTCGATCTAACGACGCATTGTCACCGAAGCGATTATTCTTAGTAACGACGCTCAAAGAGTGAATCACGATCTTTGTTCAGGTACTCCTTAAACGGGAAGCAGGGATACGCTTCCGGAGGATCTACGATGAATTCGACGAGGTCGATATCGACGAACAGCGACCACTACGCCATAGTGCATTCGAGGCCCGGGAGCAGATACTCGGGTCCGGGCCAGAAGCATCATCATCATCACAGAGGGCCGCCATCGAACATCGGCTCCCATTATTCCGGGAAATAATATTCATCGAATTTTTACAATAACAAAAAGGTGGAAGGAAGGAAGGAAGGAAGGAAGAATAGAACGAACTGTTATTTCCTATGATGTCTCGAACGCATAATTCAAGCTCTTTTATAACAACGCAACCGCGCGTAACGGGTATCTAGATTCAATAGAGTCATTGCTCACGCTGTTCAAAGACGAACTACATGGACAGAGGCGTAGACAATGGTTGATCCTTGACTCGAGATAAAAGCATAAGGACGCGAGACGCAATAATTCGCTTAATTACAGCCCCTTAACGAAGAATAATAGACACTTGGCCACTTTGGCCATGTTCGCTTCGCGTTGAGGATTGACTTATCTAATTTGATACGTCCTCGATAGTTGATATTAATGCATCGATAGAAATATCCTGATTTTTTTTCTTTTTTTTTTTTTATTAAATAGAAAAAGATCAAATTTAAAGATGGTTATTTGAATTTTAAATCAGTTTTGAAAAAAAGAACGAGAGTGATGAAGACAAAGTGAAAATTATTTATTAATTTGAATTTTCTATTATTTTTTTTTTTTAGACGTGTTGTCTCTGTTATTAAAAGATATATATTTTTTTTTAATTAGATTCAAGATTTGATTAACTTCTTTATAAATAAATTTCTATACGATGAGAATAATAATATCAAGTATCGAGATATCGACAATTCCATTTATTAATAGCTCCATATGTGAGAAAGTTTTTCAACTAGATCGTATATGTATCATATGATAGTCATAAATATAGGTACTATCTTCTTTTTTTTTTTTTTTTTACAATTTTGCGCAATATCGTATTTGATTAAGCGGAATTACAGACGAAACTTTTGTACATAATCAGAAATCATCATTCTTTGTGACCAACGATATTGTATATCTACAGAAACGATTATTCTTGCTATACCTGTATCGTTTCGTGTCGTCCAAATAAAAAGTATTACGTGCGACAAAATTTATATTTTGTACAAGAAGAAAATAGAGAAAAATATCCGAGAAAAGTTCTAAAGAATTAAAGGAAAAAAAAAAAAAGAAATATTCCTAGAAAATTAATTTTTATTGTAACAATTCAATGAAACATTCCGTGTTCAACGAGTCACAAACACGTGTTTAAATACAGTAAAAAAAAAGAAGAAAAAAAAAATTCTGGAAGACATTTATTAGACCTGGATCCATCCAATGGAAATTTTATGATGTTAAATTTAAAAAAAATATATTATCATCATCTCATTGCGTGAAATTCGATTTTACAAATTGAATTTTCACAGAATGAGATATTCCGCCTGACGCATTGCCTTCTGTGAAATGTGCGTTTAATGGATGTAAAAGTGAATGAACGCCAAGATGAGACGCAAAGATGGCTCGCGTGACTCGGCTTGGAGGAAAATAAGGCATTTTGAAATATTAGAAATGCAGTTATTCTGTATGCAATAAATTTGTGCGCGTTCAACGCCGAGATGAAATTATCGGTAAAAGTGTACGACCCTGGGTTGTTGCAAGGGTGTGTTGCATACTAGTCGTTTCATGAATACGTCCAGTCACGTAAAGACGCGCGCGCATTATTCGCTTTGTCATACTAAATACTTCGCCGAGGACGAATACGAGCCTCCATTATACTACGAAGTGCAGTTAACGCATTTTAGAGTTTCAAATTCACGGATAATAAACTGTTAAGTTTTATTATTCATTTGTTGGCAATGGTGAACGCGAGTAAAACAGTGTAACGACATTGAAAAATAAACGATATAGTACAATAGATATATATATATATAGTATATAAATAGTATATAATAGAAAATAAAAATTGTATTAATCGAGGAAGAATTCTTCTGAAATTCAATAAAATCGAATAATATTGAATATATGCACGATATATGTAACAGTGAAAATAAAAATTAAAATTGTATCAATTAACGAATTAGCGAAGAAGCATTCTGAAATTTATTCGAAATTTATTCGAGAAATCGAGTAAATTTGGGAAATTAGAATTATTTGAGAATCTTTCTTTCCAGTGGAAGATACGTTCTTAAATAATTTTTTTCGATTCGAATTAGTTGAAATGGACGATTGAAATGAAGCTGAATTAAAACTTAATTTAAAAAAAAAAAAATTGAAAAGATAGTGGAAGGCAATTTCGAAAACAAGAAATAAGAGAATCCTCGATTCTCTTCTTCGAGAATTCTGTACTCGTTCTCTTGCACATGGTTAATTATTCGGAAAAGATCAACGGGTTAAGCATACTGTTTTCTTCCTGGTTTAATCGAACGAGCTCGACTAGTACCGCTATTTTTGCAACTTCATTTAACACAGAACTTGTTAACGTTAACGATAACAGTATCCTAGTTTCACGCTTGGCCGTTGTTCTCAGATTTTTAAGAAAGTTGGGTCAACGTCTTGTCACGTGTTGCGCAATGGTGGTAAAAAGACTCGAACGAGAATCCCGTGCAAGTAAGAGGTTTCTAGGTTTTCCAGGAAGGAAGTGAAGAGAGAGAGAGTTTTAAAAACAAATTTATTATTAAATGTACATCTATGTATATCTGATAACGGAATATACGCGAGTTACTCGCTTAAATACTACCTGTACAAAAAACACGAAAACTCATCTCTCCATGTGGACAATAATAATTGTTGAATCTCTTAGGCATTTTACATAAATAATCGTTACAAAGCTCGACTTTGTAATTCTTCTCGGTTAAATATAAAATACAGTTTTTATTATACATGTTATAAAAAAATAAACGAATTCAGCGAATAATCTTCGCCGATTAATACTCTTACAAATGTGTTTTAACTGTACATTTACTTCGTCGAAAATATATATAAATAAGTTAAAACAAAAAAAAAAAAAAAGAAAAGAGAGAAAAAAGAATTTGTAACAAAAAAGATAAAACAATGCAATGAAGGAATGTTAGAAGAACAATCATTTCGAATTGATTCTGACAATGAATACCTTCTTTTTTTTTTATAATCAACGATTTTAAGATAAATAATAATAATTAAGAGGAAACGTTGTTCGAGGAAATCCAAACCTATCCAATTAAAATATACGATTTCATGAAGAAGATTTTGAAAATGATGATTGGCAGTATACGTTTTAATTTTTTAATAGAAGAAAGTGTTCTTAGTTGCTCGTGATAGAAACAGAAATCTTCTTCCATAAATTATATAATAGAAATAAATTCCACGAAGAATCTCCAATATTAGGAACATCTTTTACACGAAAAAAAAAAAAATATATTTTATGATCACGATGTATACTTCCATTTAAAAGTTCCATTTTAAAAGTCTTTCAATTCTCGATAAAATTTTTACTTATTATTTGATACGATTCGCGAAAATATAATTTTTGTTTTTAGACTTTTAAACAATGCATTTTTAAAGGCATCTCCTCAGCTCATCTCGTGATGGCATCGCCACGATCGAGTATTTCGTGTTTTAATGTGTGATTCCGTCTCGTGTATTTAGCGAAGTGAAATAGAAGGATTTTATCTACAAAACGGCGAGGGTATCGTGACGTGGTGCACGTGCATCTATCGCGCTCGATTCTCGACGATGCAGCTGCGCCGAGCCACGATCGCTCAACGGACATCAAACATTGTAAATTGTGAGTTACGAGTAAACTGTTTTCAACATATATACTCCAATCTCGTGAGATAGAATAAAGAAAAGAAAAAAAAAAAAAAAAGAAGAGTAAAAATTGAGGCACCATGAATAAACTATAACGAGTATAAATCTACGACAGCGAAACAATGTCAGCTGTATTATATAAGTTACTTACGTAACGATAAAATACCATCGATCGTCATTCAGAAGGAATAGCTCGGGATAAGAGCGAGAGCTCGAGTTGATCGAGTTCCATACTCAAAATTAATAAAATCGATTCACAGAGAGAATCGATCGCGCGAGGTTTGCACCTTTCGAGAGAAATTTTAACATTGAGCGAAAATAAATAATGGAATTAAAAATCGTTTCCAAAAAAAAAAAAAAAAAAAAAAAAAAAAA